CACTGTATACGTTTTTATAATAAATATTCCATTAGTTTTAAAAAAGTCATCAAAGTCAGTTTTTAAGAAAATTTAAAATCTATATAAAAAGGACTTTCTGTATTAAAACTATATACATTATACATTTAAATATATTTAAAATACTATTTAAATGACAATAATCCATGCATTCGAACATTTTGTGTGAAATATATAATTAATGTATTTTTTTTCTCGCCTCATTTATAAAATTACGTATCATAAGATTTAATTAATTTGTAGTGTTTCCAAAATTCAAAAAGAAGGGGGTTCTCAATTTGCTTGTATTTTTTTATGTTTGTTATCTCATAACTTAGTTGTAATTTGATTTAGAAAATTATATTTTATATTTGATCCCATAGAATTTTTATCAAAAACGGATCAGTAGTTTAATTTTGTAAATCATAATATTTTTGTCACAATTGAAGTTTTGTAATACAAAATTTATTTATTATGTAACACGTTATTTTTACTCCATTTAAATGTAATCTTTTTTCTATATGGTTTAATTCCATGTTAGATACATATTTATTAGTTTAATCAAAATCGAATTTACTCTTTGTAAAAAATAAAACGTTAAATACCTCTAGAGGTAGATCAGGGGGCACACCCCCGTTTCCCTGCCTCCTACGCTCAGACGCCCACTCCATGCACTTTGACATTTGGCATCCCGAGCTGTAAGTCAACAGGTGGCTGCCATGACAACCACACTCCATAACCTTTCCTCATTCCTGGGATTTCGTATCTACCCTCGAGATGATTCACTTTGACACCCACATCGTGAGCTGTCTAATATATTATCTAATTTGTGTCGAAATGACTTGAAGATATTTGATGTTATACAATTGTAATATAATAAAATCATAAAATCTGTACTTATATTATTTTATTAAGAAAATTATAGCTAAAAAAGCTAACAATAAACAACAGAATGTAAATCTATATTTTTAACCTCCGATACAAACAAAGAGGTTATAAATTTATGTATGTATCTATATGTATGTAATATATATGTAACTCCAACTTGTAATCCATTTTGTTTTTATTTAAGTGAGTTGATCCAGAATATTTTTTTGCTGAACAGATTTACTTGCGTTTAAGTAAATCTATTCAGCCTTCAGCTCCTTTTCATTTGATATAGAGAATGTATGCAACTTCTACAATTTTGATAGATTTAAAATTTGGTAACCTGTTGTCGAACCAGTGCTGGAATCTGCGGGATATCAAACTCCTCAAAAACTTACAGCAGAAGGACACTTTCGTGTTAGGGATATTGAAATAATCTCAATAGATTAGTGAGAAAAAGTATTTATTAAGACATCACAAGAATCATTATATCCATTGGGACGATAACTGAACAAGCTCCTTTAGGAAATAATATTATTGTTGTTGTATTAGCCGTTAACTGTCCACTGCTGAACCCCCCATTTTGAGGAAGGCTTTCTTCCCCAAATTGGGGGGTTTTGCCAGTAGTTACACCAGTTGGCAGGCAAGTTGGTAACCGCAGTTTGAATTTTGGTGATGTTTAAAGAAGGACGCTGCTACTCATCTCTCCACCATAAGCTCTCTTAGTCGGCTGTTCTATGCCGGGAGCCACAGGCACTAGACTATTCTCGAGAGATGAGTCCATTTTTGTATCTCCTAAATATACTATCCATCAATAAACAAACTTTAAAACGCAAGTTGAACATATAAACTTCTCATAAAATAAAATTAAAATTAATTATTAATTAAAATTCGCATTAAAATTCATTGCGTAACTTAGAAAAAATAGTGTAGACACAATTTTAAGATTTAAGATTCCCGAAGGCAAATATCAATATTTTCAAATGCCACGCAAAGTGCAATTGTTAATTAATAATATATTACAATTTTTTTTTTGTTATTATTTATAATTTGTTTATTGTCATTTTGATGGTGTTGCAATTTAGCATATGCCTCCACTGCTATGTTTCGTCCTACGAATTTTTTGTTTTAAATCTTACCTTATGATAGTTATAGATTCTGTAGCTTTATCCTTTCATAATATATACATTTTTATTCATGAGTATACCTGATATTGCTCTGGACGTCTTACGACGTCTGGACGACGGATATCCAGGCCAAATCTGTTTAGTTATATATATCCCAGTATATTTATATTAACCCAATGTTCTTTGCTAGTTATTTATATACTTAAATAACTTTATTAACAAAAAGAAAATATGATACAAAAGGTAGACTTAATCCTAGTAGCATTTTCTACTAGTCAACCTTTGCAATAAACAGTGAATCACGAAAGTGGTACTTCATTATTAGGATAGGTAAAGAAAATAAGAGCTAGTAATGTATATCTATACAAAATATAAGTATACAATATATATATATACACACAACTAAATAGATATATAAAATGTAAATCTACACTAATATTATAAAGAAAAAAGGTTTGTTTTTTTGTGTGTATTTTTGTGTGTGTGTGTGTGTATGTAAGTTAAGTTTATTCATACAAATGTATATTTAATTTTAAAAATTCTGTCACCATTAGAAAGCTACATTCACCCTGAAGCTGTATTTATTGCTAGAAAAGATTAGGGATCCTTACTAAAACTTCAGTAACGTATCTTCCGTCGCGTGCGCTGCGGAAACTATTGGTGATAGAACAAAAGTATGTTCTACAATATTGAAGAAAATATCAATAACAACAAAAAATTTCGCGATACTATATGTCCAACTGTTATCGTTATGGCACAATAACCACTTTTTTTAAATAACACAATTTAGATTGAAGAAGTCGATAGATATACCGACCAAAATTACATCATGTTATTCATACTTCTGTTTAAATCCTTATCCAAATAAATCATATTGTTTTCAAAACTGTTTCAATTTATGTAGATTACTTTTTGAATTATCGTAATCGGCTATTCTTACCTATTTATTAATCCTTATCCAAATAAATTATTTTGTATTCAAAATTGTTTCATACCAATATAACTAAAAAAATATATATAAAAAACTTAGTCAATTTAATTAAGTAGGATTAGATAAAAATGTAAAATCTTGTAAAAATGTCCACCCGTGCGAAGCCGGGACGGGCCGTTAGTAATAAATATATAAATAAGATATAAAAGGTGATGACTAGCTACTATTATTTTAATGAATTATTTGGTTATCATGTACTCCAAGAACCAAATGTTCCTTTATGGTTTTTATTTGTGCTCAAAGGACATAAGTTCTTGCAGACTTTTTTGTTTTTGAAGTATAAATATTCCTTGCTGGTTTTCTTGTAATCGAAGGACTAAATCTTGGAGCTGTTACTACAACAGGCTATGTTAACGTAAATGTGAGATGTTGCCGTTGATAGTAAAAGATGCTGTTGATCCCTTAGCATGTTACTTCGTAGTGACTTATTAAAGTTGCTCTTAACATCACCTATGTTTAGATAATTAAAACACGTACGTATACGCTAACTCGTCGATATATTAACTAGGTTATTAAATTAGTATTAATATATAAACAAACAGTTACGCATGTCTATAGCTGTTATAGTTATTTTGTAGTTATTAAAAACTAATGTTATATAACATAAAACGTGTCAAGTGTAAGAGTACTCACATATTATACCGATAACCTTTTTTAAATATTAAATCATTCATATTTGATACAAATTGATATTGATATTGTTACACATTTAGTTAAATATAATAATTTACTTGTGGTATAAAACAAAAATTATTGGATGGTCCGAGAACAAAGTTAATTTGTCTCCGCATGTTATTAGGTGGATAATATTACTTCGGGAAATTTTATAAAATCAAACCACGTATTATTCCTGTTCCTTCTGTAGGGAACAATTATATTACGAAAAAAAATGCCGCACAACATCGCCGATACGCCAAATTATACATTCATTGACCATACACATACAAGTATTTGGTAAATAGATATAACGTAAATACAAAATAATTTTATCTTCAAATAAGTTTATTGCATATTATTAAGTTTGCATTTTATTGTAACAGTTATGGGAACGGCAACACTTTCGGTATAAGTGGAAGCACCTGATGTAGTAAAATTCAATACCTAAAAATATAGGCAAAATAAAAAATAAAATCTGAAACTTAAACGCCTAATTAACACAAAGTGATAAGAGACATTCAGTTATTACTGTGCGTATATCGAAATAATTAAAAAATTAAAAAAAAAAAAATTATCGTAAGAGATATATTGCATAGTTAAATAATGAAAAAAAATTCATATGAGAATTTTTTTCAGAAACAATACTGAGTAGATTCCTTAATATACGCAGTGCAATAAATACCACATTATATTATTATTATACTACGGTGGACAATGAATGTATATATATACTAAAAAATATTTTACACTTTTAAATATATAATATCAATATACATTTTATAATATACACATATAAACGTTATAAAACTATAAAATTATATTAAACTTGCATTAGTAATTAGCCCCATAAATTGATAAATTCGCTATGATCCTATATCTTCGATTCTAATATCGCGCTAAAATAAAAAGATGCAATAAACATTCCTATGTCAATACTACACGTATATAAAATTAGATTATGGAGTAACAGTGAGTGAAGGTATCATTACGTAGTACGTCTATGACCGGCCATGTATTTTTAGGCAAAGTCATGATTTATCCAACATACGTAACGCTTCAACTATCTGGACCGGGCCGGCAACGTCACGGGAGCGCGCGTGCCACGCGGCTAATTGTAGCATGACCAAAACGGTCTCAGGGAACCGTCACCGGGCGACGAGCGTGTAGTGTACGAAAGCGGAGCGTGATTCAGCTGCCAGAGAAAGTAGCGGCTGACAGGAGAGCGCAGCGCAACGGCAGGCAGCAGCAGGCACGACGACGTCACGCACGCTCGCGCGCGACGAGCCTCCGCGCCCACGCGCCGCCCGCGCGCTCACGCCGCCCGCCGTCGCACCGCCATCACTACACTTGTGCGCCCCGCGCTTTTCGCGCGCCTCCCTTCGTCGTCGCGACGCCGCGCCATTTTCTCGCGCACGTGGGCGATGCCGGTCGAGCGAGGGCGCTCGACTCTAACGCCATTAATACGGCCGTCGTGAATGAACGCCGACCTCGACCGGGTGGCTGGCGTCCATTGATAGGGCGCGCAGCGGGCGACGACCGGCCACGCGTCCACACGGGGGCGGCGTGCTGCACGCCCTCGCTACAGCGATCGTGCCTCAGTCGAGGATGTGGCGTTCTCCGCGCGACGACACTCACCGCGTGCGAAATCTGTGTTCATTTATCAGTAGATACTCGTGACCCTTCAGTGTGATTACCGTGCCGCGTTTTTGTAATTTCCTAAATGTAATGTTCTGTGATCGCGTCAATTTCGTTAGGACATAAGTTAGATAGTTTACGAAAATAACCGTTAGGGTGCATAGTGATATACGAGTTGATCGGCGTAAGCGCCGCCTGCAAGGCTTTGGCGCACGTGCAAAGCGGTGCATGTGAGTGTAGGTGCGCTGTGTGGCCGCGCACCGTGGTGTGGTGTGTGCAGTGTGGGGATGCACTCGTGCGATGCTCTCGGTGATCGCGATGCGTCGGCCGGAGGACGAGGAGCTGGGCGGTCGCGGCGATGGCGACGAGTTTGTGGACATATCCCACATGCAATTACTGGTGGAGGCGGGCCCGAGCGGGCTGCACTACGGAGGCCCGCCACCGCCGCATGCACAGCCCCAGCCCTACGCACAGCCGCCCGCGCATCCCGTAACTACCACGGCTTCCGTCGACGATCTCTTCGCGCTCTACTTTACACCCACCTCGCATGGTGAACACATAGGTACGAAAAGTGAAATGAACCCAAACCGGTTATGTGTTTTGCTTATAGTTAACTTTGCTTACACCGATTTATAACTTAACATTTAGAAAGAAACTAATATATAACTCTTGATTACTTCTCAATTTGTTATGTTTATTTATGTATATAAATTTAAAACCTCTTCATTTACTTGTTTTAATTAAGGTTGTTCAATGAATTTTAGATATAAGTGAGTAAATAAAACCTTTATTAACAAATACATTGTTGCAATGTTACATATTATTGCACTGGCTGTTAAATTAGAGTAACCTGTGTCTTGTAAGCCAGTTCATTCCAACATACAAGAACTAGAACAATGTATTTGTATATACAGATTTAACACTATTAACTTATAATATAAAAAACAATACAATGGTGTGAGAGAAGCTGAACTGTGTGAATATGTGTATGTTTGAAGTGAGAGGAAGTGTTATTAATATATATATATATATATATATATATATATATATATATATATATATATATATATATATATATATATATATACTATTTATATATAATGATGAACTTATTGTGTATCTACATATGAAATATACTACCTAAGTTAAAATTGAGAACTGAATTGATAATTTCTCAGAAGTAGCTGCGGCCTATAATACAAAAAATATTCTACAAAAAATATAGTAATAAACCTAACGTCTTCTTTGGAAGGTAAAATCATTGTTAGTAGAAGTAATTAGGTCTTACAGTTATACTAATACTAACTAATTATTTTGTTAGCAATACACTTTATCAGGTCGACTTTTACACAGTTCCCTCTGGAAACTATCGTGTCGTGTAATTCTTGTAGAATTCGTCACAACTGCCTGCTTTCATCCACATTAATCATCTTAACAGGTACAATTACCGTTCCATTTTCATCTATAAAAATAACTTTTCTTTGGTAACCTCAAAATATTACCATTTACAACCGCTAATAAAAGTCAATTAAAGTATAAAATATCTGTTTTAAATATATATTAATCTTTTCTACATGATACTGAATGGCAATAAGCAATACCTTACCTAAAAAAAACAAATGCTGGTGAGACAACTTCATTTAACTATTACAAAGTGATGATGACATACTATGGATTAGGTACTCATAATATGTCACTTGTACTCATGTAATGACAGTAAAATAAATAAACACCATACTTAACTTATATTGTAGATGCATGCCGATACTTATATATAATATTAAGGTTTCTTCAGGGTCAGCAACGCGCACGTGACACCCCTAGTTTTGCAAGCGTCCATAGGCTACAATTACCTTTTTTTTTTTTATGCAACTTAGAATGACAAACAAGCTGACGGCCCACCTGATGGAAAGTGGTAACCGTCGCCTATAGACATGAGCAGTACCATGGACATAGCAGACTATACTGTTTCACCCATGATACCCCCCATGCGTTGCCATTCCTGAGGACTCAGGTGTTATTCCTCTGTACCCAGTAAATTCACGCCATATCCCACCCTTCAAACCGAAACACAGTCATGCAAACACAACTGCTTCACGGTTGAAACACGAATGGGACAGAGGTACCCAAGCAATCGACTTTTGTACAAAGTCTCCCTCTTTTACCATCATTTTTTACTAGATGATTATGGAATGGTAACCTCGCCTACGCATCTATATATACTGACAGAGTACCAGTGAAGGATGATAAATGAGATGAAAGAGCAGGTCAGTTAGCTCATCGTGATGAATACATCTGGAATTCAGCACGATGGTTTCCAGGGGGACCACGTGGAGATTGAATTGACAGGGTATATTACTAGCAATGGGACTAATAGTCCGCATTACTATCAATCCCTCCCCCCCCCCCCATCAGACGGGCTATATGTTTGTTTTGCCATCTTTGTGGTATAAAAACTACGAGTATAATTCTAAAGACTACAGTAAAAATTTACTTCCAATTATTTATGGACTGTGAGTTGTATGTAAATTTTTTTTATGTAACTTAGAATGGCAAACAAGTTAACGGCCCACCTGATGGAAAGTGATAACTGTCGCCTATAGACATGAGCAGTAGCATGGACATAACAGAATATTAGTATACTGTATACATTAGACTTCTACTCAATACCTCTTTGTATCCATCATAGTTATTTTTTGATAAATTCATCACGATGAACTAACTAGCCTACTATCAACATTTTACAATGCTCAATACTATTTAAAAATAACAGCTCATACTAGGAACTACTACTTAATTTGCATAATAATTACTAGCTGTGCCTATAACTTTATCCTCGTTTCAGGTAGTCTATGTCCTTCTTCATGTCAAGTATTAGGTATATGCCAAATTTAATAATGAGCTGCGTTGAAGCACCAAGAAGTATAAACAGTAAATAATAAAATCGCTCCAACAGTTAAATTATATATGGTAGGTTATATATGTGTGTATATATATATATATATATATATATATATATATATATATATATATATATATATATATATATACCGAACCGTTACTGCTGCAATAAATAAATACAAACCAACTGGTTGGAACATAATTAGTTCATGTACGTATAATGAATTTTCTGTGTGATAACGTTTTGTCAATAGATATAGGTTTTTTTTAAATCCATGTCGTTTCCTTGATTTAGGTAATAAGCACATAATAATCCCGTTATGTAAATACTTACTGTAAACGTACAGTAAACTTTGGGCACTAAGTAAATACAATGTTTTAATTTTTATATGCTTTAGGTAACTTTTATTTTTTTAAATATAAATAAATACTATAATAATAAACACGAGATACAAATTCAGAAGGTATTTACATGTTTCGACCTACGTTCCTAGGAGAAAATTTTTCATTTTCAATTTTCTCTATATTAAGTACCTTAAAAACCCAACGAAATAGAAGTACTCTTTTACTGTCATACTTCCAGTAGAATTATTTATAAAGTCAGCTCATGGTATCATTTGTAATAATTCGGATCAGCGTTCCGTATAGTGTTATCTGAACCGGACGGAGCTAATCGACTGCGTCTGCGCAACCAATGCTATCATATTCACCCGACTGACCATAAACATTATTTTGTTAGTATTAGCGAATAATATCAGTTGAATTAACCTTATAACTGATGATCATAATTCGATTTTAACCCGACTACAAAAAAAAGAAGGTTCTTATCTAATAATGTTTAAATACTGTAAATAGATAATGGTAAAAAAAAATCATTTCAGGACGCAACGTAAACAGTAACAAAGAAGAGTAACAAAAACCTTTCGTCGTTTATATCATTAACTTCCTCTTTATTCTAAGAGTAACTAAGTACTGGTAAGGAAATTATTATAAATATATTTGATTACTAAATATTTTATCATTTTCACTTGTCTTAATACGTATAATCTAAAGTTATAAACAAACCACTGCCGGTCAATTCTATACTGTAAGACAAGGAAATACTTAACAAGAAATTACGTAAATGATTTATGAATGTTATTCATAAATCATAAAAAAAAAAACCTGTAATCATAAAATAACTCCAAACAACAGACAGACGGGCCTAACTTATTTCCTTTTCCTTTCCTTCCTTACACCTACTAACATTATTTAGAATAATTAATTGTAAGGAAAACAAAAAAGTTGATATATTAAAATTATCATTATGTCATTTTGTCTGGCTATAGCCCTATTAAAGCTAGGATGAAGAAGAAGAATAAATAAGAAAAGTGAAAAAAATATTGAAAAACCATGGAAATAACGAAAGAGAAAAGCTTGCAACAAGTATCTAATAGATGCTAAGCCTAAAATCCGTTTGCAGATACTTGCAGATATTAATTTAAAAAATGAATATTTTTAAATAAGTTACAAAAATATGATTACTAGTTCACAGTCGACCACGAATTCGGTTACTACAATCACTCTACCTTATACCTTGTTGGCGTAAACAGGTATGTTATTTTACTGATATTATAAATATATTAATATTTGTATCTTAATTGTAAATAGTTTAAATATTTATTAAATCGTACTTAAAAACTGAACAAATTAAAAATTTACACAAATAATCCATATTCAGACCGAATACTTTTTATCTTAATCATGTAGGTCAAAATCACAAGTAAATAAATAGTTGCCAATAAATTTTAGTTCTTGTAAGTATACTTCACATATATTATATATACATAGGGCACACATTTTTTTTTGCATTTCTGGCTTATCATAATTGTTTCAATTTCGAATACTTAATATATTATTTTAAACATAAAACCTTATTACTTAATTATTTATAAAAAAATATTGCAGGAAATAATTCGACAATACTTTTTTATGCCTGTAACACGAGGGATATCACATGCATGTTGCCGACTCTAAAGGAACCTTAATACGCTCTCATTGAAAAATCTTATACAGACTCCAGAATGAGCCTTGACAGGGAGCTCATTTCACCACCTGAGTAGGAGAAATTTCCTCTGAAATGGCACTGTATGTGACCATTTAAGTTCCACTATGCGAGTATAAATTCCTTGTCAACGCCAAACAGTGCGATTGTGCGATAACACTTCCTCAGAACACATTTTTTTCAAAAACAAATACATAGTAAAAAATAGCTGCTCACAATAATTTCCGTTCTCTTCATATCATATCTTCTTCTTTTGTTCTCTATAAGAACAAAAGAAGAAGATATGATTATATCCGCTAATTCATGTTGTGAAGAAGAATGTAATATAATACAGTAATATATATAATAGATTACTAATGTCATTCAAGCGAGCTCTTCTCCGCTGAGACTGCTTCTTGAAAAACACAAATATTGCGTATACCTATAATTAATTTTTACTGCTCAATTATTAATGCATCGAGCAAATTTTTTTACTACTTCAAAAAGCAATAGTTTCTCAATTTATCTAAATACTGCTTTAAGGCATGACTAAGCAATTCAAATCAATTTCAAAATTCTTTTTCTAATCGATAGGGTTTACTCCCTTCCTGAAACTAATTTAATTTTGCGATAATTTA